CTCCAACTTTATGTTACCGAATAGCAAATATTCCAAGTCTGCTCAACTGGTGGCACGTTTTCGGTAGACAACTTTTTTTTGAAATGCCTGTCAGATACATTTGGATTGTTATTGCTTTTGCTTTTTTGCTTTTGCCAGTCGTTTTATTGCAATTGCTCTCGAACAAACACACACACACAGCTTCCACAGAAGTTTTATGAATGAAACTGTGCGACGCCATCTTCTTCAACGCGACGAAATCGTATCAGTGGCCACTGTTGTGTTTACTTTGAATTGAAATGGAATTTAGGATGGAGGTTTTGTTTTTGATTTATTTTGCGGTATTTTTTGACACCTAATTTCATTTCGTTTCATTATATGTATGTATTAATGACTTTAATTATTTATTCGCACACATGAATAACTTGGCATGGATGCATTCAAACTTTTGTATGCCAGGGTGTAAATATGATTTCATGGTAATGATTAATTTTAGTATTCAAATTTGTATTATTTTCTCATATTTCTTTGGATAAGGTACTAAAACTTTTCATTTCCTTCTTTCAGATCTCTAAAAATCGATTTTTTTTATGCAGAAATTTAAATTACTAAAACTTAATTTAATTCTTCAATTTTGTTTTAGTTTTTGTCAATTGCGAGAGAAAGAAGAGAAATATGTAATTGCCACTTTGATTCCTAAATATTGGTGAAACCCAAGAGTAAACGTGCCCACACGGCGTATGATCAACTTTTTTTAGAAAATTAATGAAATTGAAAAAATCGTAAGAGGGTTCATCTCAAACGTAAAACGGTTTAGTTTCAAAAAAAATTAGCACTTTTATTTATTTATGACGACAGAAAACTGTAATTTTTTTTAAGTGCACACAAAAGTAAGGCATATTAACTGAAAGAGTTGGTAACAAAAAAAAATTTTTGCTTTTGCCGGTTTAAGGGAGTAAATATGTGGGTACACCCGACATATTTAGTCTTATTCTATACCTTTCCAACGATATCTTATATATTGAGCTGGAAAGATATAGAGCTAAACTGATTTTGGTCCATGTCTCCACTAAATATGAGATGCTTTGCGGTGTATATGCACGGTGGGTCGCAACCAAGTTCAACCCAAAAGTCTGGGCACTTCAAATTTTCTTGTGAATTTCTTTTCTGTTATGTTTTCTAATTAATTTAAGACAAAAAAGAAAACAAATCGTTAGACAGTTTTTTGAGAAAATTGAGTTTTTGTATTTTTTGTGCTGAAGACATTGTTACTCAACAGTAAATTCAAACTAAAGGTCTTGGCAATTCAGATTTTCTTTTTTGAGTTTCAGGAATTTAGGTGCAACAAAAACTAGGAAGGTTTTTTTCCAGGATGTTTCGACTCGTATGCCTTTGTGGGCGTGGCTGGTGCCTGCTATTCGAAGAAAGACAATTTTTTAAACTACCACTGAGGCCGCACTACTCATTCCATACCATTGATATGAATATCAGTAGAACGGTCTTAAAACAAGCTATCTAATGCTGTCTTTTGTTTATGAAATATAAATATGTTATAAGGTTATCGCCTGAAAACTAAAAGTCGGGCTGCGCAAAATATAGATTTAGAGCATTTTCTCAAAAACTGCTCCGTCGATTTTTTTCTAAGTTTCCCGAAGTCTAGCCCGAAACCTTAGCTTACATTTAATATAAAACTTATATCTAGAAAAAATCTTGTTGTGGAGATATTGCGATTAAAATAAAAAAAAATTAAAAATTGCTCCAAATAGCGACGAATAGTTAAAAATTAGCATATACCTTTAATTTGGTTACTTTAAGTTATCAACATAACATACCCGATTCTCCGCAAAAAACTGTCCAGTTCCCGATTGCCACCCAACCCCGAATTCAAATCGGGGAATTTCCCTGCATGCGATACATAATTTGTAGACTGTGTATGTCGCTTTCCGATTTTCATAGAAAGCTTTTTAATTTTGCTGGTCTGTAACATTTTTTCCAAAATTTTAATTGAAACTATGTACGCAATATGTAAACTATGCATATGTACGCTTATCACGCGAACTTTGTCTCCCTGGAACGAAGCATATGTACATTATTACCTACATTTGTACATATGTATGTATGCATTTAGTTGATAAGTTTTTAAAATTTTTCATATTAATTATTATTTTTTTTTTTTCATAATTTTCGAAAAATTTTATGTTTCAATGGAAAAATAAAACATTTACATTATTGTTTCGATTTTCGTTGATTTTAAATTTGGTATCCCCAAATAACTGAAATTAAGTAAAACACCTCTTTGAGGTAAAATTTTCGAGTGACGAAAGCTGAACTAAAAACACAAAATATATAATATCAATTTCGTGACGAAAATTATACGCATTTTTTTAACTGACTTGGAAAATGAAGGGACATATTTTCATTTATTCGGAACTTTGCACAGTTCAGTCTACTTTTAAAAACACAAACTGAAAAATTTAGCTTTTAGTTGTAGTGAGGCTGTCTGCATTTGCCGTAGAGAGTTTTAAAAAATTGCCCTCGACCACACAAGGGTTTTTTTTTTTTAATTTTTAATCAAATGTAAAACAAATGTTTTAATAAAATATTTTTTACCATTTATGAGAAAAGACGCCGCAAATCACAAAACACAAAGCGCTCAACATGATATGCTTCACAATAAATACATCACAATATATGCCTTTAACATAGTACATTGCTTTATGGTATACATACGTATGTATGTATGTATGTATATTAGACCGCAACACCTTCCAAGCGAACAAAAAAGTTCGCCGTACACTCCTGAGTCTAAAGTAATTTTGCAAGGGATTTTCGAAAAAAAAAATTTGGTCGGGTCGGGTCGCCTTTTGCATTTTTGACTGGCATTTACGTACATTCGGCAATAAAAAATTTTTTAAGTGAAACTTCTTTACGCTTGTTTGGGTGTAAACCCAGATATCTATGTATCGAAAAAGTGGCACAATTGTTGTGCTTTGTAGCCTAATTCTGTATCGGTGACAAACATTTTTTCACTGACACATTTAAACTTTTTCATTTATTTTTAAAACTATGACAAGAATTTGTCACTGATACAGAATAGAGCCTTTAATTTCAAACTCCAATGAAGGGGAAAATAAAACTCAAATTAAGTTTAAAACTAAGATTAATACTGAGATTAAGATTGAGATTAAGGTTAACATTTAAGTTAAGATTAAAAATCAGATAAAATTGAATATTGCGATTGAGATTGGCGATAAGGTCAAAATTAATAAGATTAAGAATAAGATTAAGGTTAAGATTAAGACTAAGATAAATATTTAGATCAAAATTAAGATTTAGACTAAGATGAAGGTTAAGATTAAAATTGAAATTAAAACAAGTAAGAGCAGCGCTGTCTTCGGCTATGCCGAAGGCTTCATACCTTTCATGAACATCTGCAAATTTTACTTTGACAGATTACTGATTTTGAATACATCTGCATACATCGATAGAGGAGTTACATACATATATAAAAATCGCATCTAAATAATCAGAGGTATGGAAGATATACTTTATATGGCACCAATCTAAGTAATTTTCACTGCTATGTGATCGGTATGTAAACTGGTAACACAATTTATTAGGTTTAGTTTCCTACATAAAGGAGATATATGGCAAAAACTGGTATCTGAACAATCAGTGCTATAGGAGATAAAGCTTATACAGCATAGATTTTGATGATTTTCTCAGTAGACTTTGTATTATTATTTATAAAATATCTTACGAAATTTATCGGTTTTAGCTGTTCAAATAAAGAAGTTTTACAGTAAAATCCCATATCTGAACAATCGGATGTATGGAAGATATATGTTGCAGTCATCCGATCCTTGTTATTTTCACTGTAAGTATTCTGTTAATAATGAGTGAAAATGGTGCGAAATTTCATGTTCCTAGCTGCATAAATGGAGGAGATATGATAAAAGACCTCATATCTGAACAATCAGTTGTATGGGGGCTGCAGGTTATAGTGACCCGATCTTCGTTTTTTTCACTGTAAGTCTTCTGCTAATAATGAGTGAAAACAGCGCGAAATTTCATGGTCCTAGCTACATAAATGCATGAATTATAACGAAAAATCTCATATCTGAACAATCAGTTGTATGGGAGCTATAGGTTATAGTTATCCGATCTTTTTAATTTTCACTGTAAGTTTTCTGTTGATAATTATTGAAAACAGTGCGGAATTTCCTGTTCCCAGCCATATAAATGGAGGAGTTATAACGAAAAATTTTATATCTGAACAATCAGTTGTATGGGAGCTATAGGTTATAGTGACCCGATCTTTGTAATTTTCACTGTAAGCATTCTGTTGATAATGGGTGCAAGTGCTGCAAAATTTCATGTTCGTAGCTGCATAAATGGAGAAGTTATAACGAAAAATCTCATATCTGAACAATCAGTTGTATGGGAGCTATATGTTATAGTGGTCCGATTTTTCCGGTTCCGTCAAATTATTAATGCATTATAAAAATACACGCACATACCAAATTTGATCAGGATATCTCGAAAACTGAGAGACTAGATTGCATACAAACAGACAGACAGACGGACAGACGGACATGGATAAATCAACTCAGCTCGACGTTCTGATCATATAAGTATACATTTTAATGGGTCTATCTCTTTTTGCTCTGGTACTTACAAACATCGGACCAAAGTTATAATACCCTTTCATGCTCATGAAAGGTATAATTAAACTTAACATTAAAATCAAGATTGAGCATGATATTGAGATTAACACTAAGATTAAGATTAAGTTTAAGACTGATATTGAGGTTAAGAACAAAATTAAGATTGAGATGAAGATTAAATTTAAAATTAAGAATAAGATTAAGGTTAAGATTAAGATTAAAATTGAGATTAAGATTAAGATTTGGACTAAGGTTAAGGTTAATATTAAGGTTAATATTAAAATTAAGATTAATATTAAAATTAAGATTAAGATCAAAATTGAGGTTGATATGGAGATTAAGACTAAGATTAACATTAAGCTTAAGGTTGATATTGAGGTTAAGAACAAAATTAAGATTCAGATTAAGATTAAGATTCAGGTTGAAACTGAGATTAAGGCTAAGATTAAGATTAAGATTAGGGTTAACGCTAACACTAAGATTATGGTTCAGACTAAGATTAAAATTCATATTGAGATTAATAGATACTAAGATTAAGATTGAGATTCTGAGTAAGATTAAGATCAGGAAAAAATTAAGATTAAGATTGAGGTTGATATTGAGATTAAGACTAAGATTTGGGTGAGCTTTAGTTTTACTGACATTAGGGTGGTAAGGGTTACAAGAACTGAGATCTGGTGGCTAAGTGCCAGAGCGGAGTACTTGAGCTCAATGAACTTTAAAAAAAAAAAATCCTTATATATCATAATTTAAGATCGAACTGTAAGTGGCGAAAATGTGACAAAAAATTAAAAAAAAATCCTTTCGTTCAGCTAAAAGAAAACATTCTTCGCCATTGTCTTGCAAATATATCGTACTGTAATGCCGAAGATATAACGAAAAATTTAAAAAGGCGACCCCAAAAATATTTTAGATTCAGAAGTATACGGTGAACTTTTTTTCGGCACTGTCTAATGTTCATACATATGTACATATACGAATACCTAATGCCCCCGCATCTGTGCATATGTGTGTTTGTACACACCATTGTAAACACATTTGTCATAATCTCATCACCGCACTATCACTCAAATTGTATTAGGTCGTATGAGGAAAGCTCTTCGTGGAAAAAAACATACATACATACATACATACGGAGAAAAGAAAAAGAGTCCAAAAGGGCAGGCGCGTCAAGTAAGCCATCTTAGGGAGAATGCTGCAGCACGTACACATAAATAAATAAATGAATAAAAGCACGCGTATCAAATATTCATACAAAAATACACATAAACATACATATGCACATTTATGTAAACGTAAATTTTTTTTCTCATATGGGGCTACAGACATTTTAGCGCTGCTTACATGAATTCAATACCACACACACACTCCCAACTCCTGTGAATTCTTAGAAAAAAGCGGTGGCAAATATAATTCGCACACATCCACAGATATATGTACAAAGGTACATTGTAGCAAATATGCTGTCAGCTTACATTTGCCAGCTGAGCCAAGCTGCTACAAATACCCGTACAATCACGCTAGACTTAAGCCAGCCAGATCGCCCAGGTTGAGCTGTGTGTCTCGGCGATTTCTATTAAATATATATGCTTATATATCATTTTTTTCTTTTTGTATTTTTGCGTCAAAAGGCACGCCATTTCAAATCTTCGTCTGATGCGGGATATTTGAAAATTTGTGTACATACATATATACTAGGTTGTTCGATTATTCGCCTTTTTTCCAAAAATCGGTTTTCGAGTTATTCTAAAAATTGCAATTAAAAAAAAAAACGGTTTCCGATTTTTAAATTAAGAAAAAAATCGAATAAACCGGTTTTATTCTGCATAGTTTTAGAACGCTTGTCTTGGTATGAAGTCATGACCAAAAATTACAATTTTATTAAGAAAATAGCAAAGCTAAATAAGTACAAAGTTTTTTTAGATAAAAATAAAACATATAAAAATCAGTAAAAAAATTCACGTTTGGCCTTTTTTTAATACTTTGTTAATTTTTTTCTGACTTTTCCGGTTTTGAGGGAGACACCTGGTACAATTGCTGGTCCTAGCAACATCAATAAAAATTTTTTGAAATAGCTTTCGCGCCTCGGCAGATAATACCAAACCTCCGAGTGTACTTCTGCCATGGACAATATGGATATAAATGATTGCAAAACTATTTAGGGGTTTAACTTAAACGAAAACATCGAAAAACTTAAAACTTTTAATGAGTGGTCAATATTTGGATGAATTCAAAAAACCGATTTGTGCGATCAAAAAAAATCCGGTTTATTCGATATTCAAAAAATCAAGATTTGAAAAAAAAA